TAATCATACACCTTTGTACTGCATCAGACTTGTGTGCTTTAAACCAAGACACAAAGCCTTCTAAGTTAGCAGTGCTTGACATTGGTAAGTGCTGCCAATGACTTTATAAAGAAATCTAGCTGATTTCATCATCCACTGCATCAACTAACTGACCCTTCAGTATATGTATCACGACTATAGTGCAAAATATCCCATTAAAAATCAAGTTTGTCGAGTCAGAGGAAAGAAGTATTCTTTACATTTCTCTTTAACATTACGTCTCATATGAATAGAACAGAGAATGTGGTGTGAATATGGAGAGCCATGTTTAAATGCCTGACAAAGTGCCTGCTCACCATCTGTCTCAAAAGCCCTAATACCTTGTAATGCTGACAAAGCAAAGTGGAAGAAAAAAGTGGAAGAATCATTTTCCTGAAATGAATGAGGGTAGGGCTTAAAAAGACAGGGTGCGTTTTACCTCTGCCTGTCTCCAGAAGTGAGTGGCGATAGGTGATGGAAGTGACATCAAAATTACCAAGGGAGAAAGAGAGATCAACAGCACTGGTGCAGAAACAAATCACATCATTTAATTAACTGTTTGTAAAAACTACTATAGCTGGATCTGGTGTTGTCCTTATTCCACGTACAAATTGAGATGATGGATCCTGTCAATGAGCTCGCTGCATTACAACAAAAAGCTCATCAACACCATGACTATGTGTCCTTACTATGCATCCTTGTCACCTGCTTCTCAGAACAAGGAGTTCTCCAGGAGCAGCAGAGGGAGTTAAGCATCCACCTTCAAAAGACACCTGATGCAATGTAGCCTTAGGACCACTCGAACAATGAGATTTAATACAATCACATGTGCTTGGCCAAGCAGGGAAAAAAGGTTTCTTATCCTTCGAATTACCATGGGATGTAATTGTAGGCACAAAATTACGAGGAATATGGTAAACTACCAAGCAGTAATTGTGAGGGTTGTACTCATAATCTAAAAAAGAAATTACATTCTATAATGTAATCAAAATAAATACAAGAGCCTACCAGAAAGGAAGCAAATAATCGTTTTAAAAGACTTGTTAGAGGGATGCATACAGTGTAATTGATGCAGGTACACAATAATATTGCCACCTGCGCTAGGGGAGCACCTTTATATTACTTTCTCTCCATCGTCATCTGTGCACATGTTAAATGCCTATGGATGTGACCCAGAGTACTTCCAAATTCCAAAGTTATCCTTTTTATGTCCTCTACATTGTTGAGACAGGTAACATCAACAATGTAAGTGGCACTCTTAGACACATTGAAAGGTTTAGAAGTACATATTTTATTACCTGGAGGGTCTAAAACAATCAAAATGATTTCTTCAGCAGCATATTTCTCAGCAGGACGTTCATATATAGGAGTAGTAGAATCTTTGTTTTCATTCAACGAAGCGTCAAACTTTAACTTCTTTCTTGCTAGAAGGACATGCATACACACAGTATAAAATGTTATACCTTTTCCATGAACTTCACTACTTTCACTGTCAGAATCTGATAATATCAGAGGACTGTCAACATGTTGAGTAATTTCTTTATAGAAAGTAGGATACATGTAAACTATAATAAATTTTGTATTACAAAATAATGTGCATGATTGCATAAAGCTTGTGTAATCAATAAAATTAAATTTACATTATTGCCATTAATCATGCATAAGAATGCAACTGCTCACTTAACATGATGATCATAAGGTAGTTTAAGAGGAGTAGAATATTGAGGTTTGACGTTTAATGAGGATGGACTCAGACTGATTGTTGAGTTTGACCCATGAGACTACTTCATCATCACTATCGGGAACAACAGTTGCAAGTTCTTTGGAAGAGCTAGGTGCCTGAATAAAATCATTCCAGGTGTTTCAGTTTTACAGTACTACCTGCGCGATGCCGATGAGACAGCTTATGAGAAGACTGTATAGAGTATGTGACAAGTGAAGTGAGGAACAATGTGCCATGGCAAAGTACCGTAAAACCATGAGTCTTCCATAAGAAGTGAAAGATGCCACCATATATAACTACTACTGATATACAGATGCCACGTAAGGGACAAAACTCAGGACAAAGACAGTGAGGACAAAGATAAACTACTACAAAAAGTGAGACACTGAAGGGCAAATGAGAGCCAATGACTGTCACGTGGGGCTGCAATTAAAATGGGCATGGTTTTACAATAATTTGCTAATAACAATTGTAATAACAATAATGCCTTAAGTAATCAATGGCAGAAAAACTAGAGTCCAGTATTCAAGTGCAGTAGTTCAGTTCACTCTTCCAGTTCATTGAATGGAGACACCCAAGGTTAAAATGCAGTAGTAAACTTGTAGAATCTTATGTAAAAATAATAATTATTATAAATAAACATCAATGTGTTTAAGTGTTATTAGGCCACCGTGATTTAATTCATTGTTTCTCATCCCCACCCGCTTGTAAAACAGTTCCGGATAATAAAATAGTTATTCTGGATACTCCTATTGCTCACAAAGTAGACAGACAGTTTACGGACAATTCTTGTGAATGACAGGCAACATGGCTGTATTCTCAGAGGCACTCATGCTGTGAGTTTGACCTACTGGCTTACTCCAGGCTTCATTCTGTTTCACCTATGCACACTGCGTGTATGTACTATTTTGTGTTGTTTGCAGTCATTAAGTTGACAAGGTGAGTAGAATCATTAGCATTTGTACATGATGTCCATTAACAGTAAAACTAGCTTGCATGCCGTGATACTGAAGCCATTTTTTATTGTTCTATTAAATTAGAGTCTCTCACACGTCAGTCCTGGTCTTGTCCTTTTATAGAGTCTCACACAGTCCTGGTCTTGTCCTTTTATAGAGTCTCACACGTCAGTCCTGGTCTACGCGTATTATAGAGGCATTACTTAACTATATCACATGCATCTCTGCTTGGCTGGTAAAAGGTAACATTAGTTAATATAATTTATTTACCATTTAACTATTTCAGGATGTATTTGTGTTACAATTGCATCAGAGGTTGCCCTACTTGTGTATGATTAAGGTACGTGTTGTGTTTACAAGTATTCTATTAATTATCTATACAGGAAAAGGATGATGAAAAGTTATCATTTCAATCACTCTTTGAAAAATTCAGTCGGTGTTTGTGTCAACAATTTCTTCCGAAGATATAGAAAATTTTATCTCCAGAGATTATACGTTGGTACATCAAAAAAAAGTTTCAGTGTAGTTGATGCATCTCACAATGTAAATAGTGTGTGTGGAATATTTGGATCATTTGCTAAATTTCTTAAAGCTGTTTCTCAGCAGTCATTAGATTTAGAAGTCTTGTCTGGACGACCAAGTCTAGTGTGTAATGATATTCCAATACATAATTTATACACTTCATATTTATCCATTAGAAAAAAGGAACATTATTCTTTCGAAAGATCTGTTTCATTTCAAATTCATCTACTGTTTGCCATATTAAGTCTTTATCAAGTGTGTCTCTTTTGATATCAGAATTAGATGATGCTATTGCTTCGAAACCTGAATATTACAAACTGTGTTCTTGACTTTAGTCAACAAGATAATAGACATTGATACGTATATATTGGAGAACTAGAAAAAAATTAGTCATCTCATATTTTATTTTACATAAACTCATAATTGCCACGTTGGAAATCACCACTTCATATGGAAAGCTCCTTCATATGCTTCTGTGAGCTCTACTGAGAATATGCGTGTTGTTGAGGAAATTCAAAGGAGATACCTGTGTACCACACGAGCAATGAGAAGGGACATTTAAAGTATTTATCGCAGGATACGTCCTGAAAGCAAGCTATACAACAGTGTGGAAAAAACACTGGAACTGTTATACAGAAGGCAAGGCAGAATCAGCAAGGCTACCTGATGATATATTGTACACAAATCATTAAATACAATTTGTATTAAAATTTTTTAACACACAATTGCCATGGTACAGTAAATGAAAATTAATAATCTCTTGAACATCTGAAGGATGTGATGTGGGATTGGAATTCCACAAATGGCAAGGTGAAATATATGACATGGCATTTGGCCTCGAACTATGAATAATTAATTAGCACTTTACAAGATTTAATTTAAATTTTTCTAATAATAATCGATCACGTGAGCTACTAACAAAGCATAATAATACTTCATGATAATAATAATCAATATCATAAGTGTAAACTTGTAATAAAGCTTCCATAACACCATGACCACCAAATACCATAAGAGGTGAAAAGAGGTGAGGAGATAATTTTAAACAGAGAGAGGGAAAGGGTAAATGATTGTATGAATACTATTCATAAATGAGAGAAGGAAAAGAGGTTGGGTCAGTTTATGTCCAAGTAATTATATGGGTGGGGTCATATATTTCACCTTGCAACTTGTGGAATTACAATTCCACATCACATCCTTCGGATGTTGGAGGGATTATTAATTCCACATTGTGGCAAGGTTCCATATATGACTATGTATTCGTTCAAAGATGTCAATAATCGTAACATACAGACTAAAAATTGACAACCATCTAATACCTTAATGACATTCCCACTTGCAATTAGGAGCAAGCTTGATGGTGGTAAAATCTTT